TGTAGCCCATCGCTCGGATGTGACCCCAATCACTCTTTATGGTTTTCTGACACATTGTTGAAACTTCTCTGTCTGATAATCTCCTGAGACCCACGGTCATCTCTTTTGCCGGTGCATCTTTTGCCACAGTTTGCTCTTCCACTCGACTTCCCATTGATATGGTTGACAAAGAATTCTATGAACAACCAGCCTGCTTAGCTAAGAACTTCTGCGGTTTACCCATCCTATGGAGGGTATCAATGATTGTCTTCTGGGTAGTTATTAAGTCTGCAGTCTTCTCCATGTTGGAGCAAACTGAGACAATTGAACCAAAGTGGAGCGATTTAATCACACATCAATGACCTGCAAAATTTGGAATGATTTCTTCACTGTATTAGTTCTGTGTATGTCTCCAATAAAATATAATATGGTGAGCATCTCCATATATGTGGTACGATGTGATTCAATCTTCGAGTTTACAGTGGAACGATATGATTCTGTTTTATTCAGTGGGAGGTAAGTACGTAATTCAAAACATGTGTCAATGACAACACTAATCCAATTCTAAACTCAAACCGCACACAATTTGCAACTGCGCTATGTAACAAAGGAAGGTTCCTCTGACAATAAACACATACATGCACGTTATTTCGTCGAAACACGTGTCAACAAAAGAGCCTACGTATGTGACGTCACACTCGACATATTTAGGAAGACTCATTCATCGTGCTTGCATTCTTATTCCGATCACTATAAATTCTTACTAATGCATTTTTCATATTTACCTCACTACCTGTTCGGAAACAGTATTATATTAGAATAATATAATAATAGTAATATAAACAAAACGTCGTCACATTGCTTGGACACGTGACCTACCCTCACGTGACAAGTAGTTTTAGTCATGGCCGACGACTACAGGCGACAAGGCCTCGACTTGGAGAGAAGAATATTTGAGTTTGACGCCAAGTGTTCCGCTCTCAAAGCTGAGAAGCAAGGTAACGCTTCAAACATTTTGGCAGTAATATGATTCTTGCTCTCAGTTGACGTTGCCTGGCTGCCGTGCTTCGTTATTAGCTGGCTAACGAGCTAGCTGTTGTTAGCGTTATCGTGCGATGCAACCACAGCAGCTGCACCGATGGAACGTTTAAAACTTTTGATAACCTACTAACAGTCAGCGTTGAATCTATGCATACCGGGCAATAATATCAAACTATTGTAAAGCGGTTCTTCAACCCGTTGATGATTTCTGAATGTCAACATTAAGATGCAAACATTTGGCTAGCGACCTTGGCTAAAGGCTAAAATGTGACAATTTACGTTCGAAACGTGGTGACTAGGCTGCCTTTATTTGTTCCCAGCCAACTTTTCGACTGCCGATGTCTGTTTGGTTCGGTTTTTAGTCATTCCACATTGAATGGTTTTCACTACAACATTCTAAAACAAGAAATTGTTTGCACGTCTGCCTCGCAGTTGGAAGGTTCCGGTTTCGAATCGTGTCTCAAACCCCCATTCTCCCTCGCACATTTCAAAAACATGTCAGTTTCCAAATACCATGCACGATCAAGACTATTAGCCGTCGGGGTGTATTTGCGAGCTTATGGTTTTGAACTGTTTTCATAACCAATAAGCTCTAAATAAATAAATGAACTTTGGTCATATGGTGTGTGTTTTTACGGTGATTAAGTTCTTTTCACATGTATTCGTCTGTTGTTTCCTGTGGAAAAGTTCAAAATATGTAAATACAAATAACAGCATGGTAGACGGTGGTTCCCAGAGCTGCTTCAAAGTGTGGAGGTCAAAGGTTCGACTGTTTTAAAGGTCCATCCTCCCACATCCCGAAAACATGCACGTTAGGTTAATTGAAGAATCCATATTGCCCAAAGGTGTGGATGCCGTCTGCCTTTTTGTGGCCTACGCTCCTCGCCTAACGTCAGCTGGGATCGGTGCCATCTCACCCTCAACCCCTATGATGGATGACAGCACTCCTCAAAATGGATTGCTGATTTTTCACGACTGCCAGTGACCAGTAGTGAAGCATCTGCAATGAGTAATGTTTTACTTTCACGTTTTTCCACAGATGATGACTATTTACAAAATGCATCTGTCATACTGGACAAGTTGAAAAGCTATTACCGACAAGGAGGGGAAAGCAGCAGCCTTTCCAAGTTGCTTCAGGATTATACACAGGTACTTTACTGCATCAAACATGCCATACTTGTTGTACAGGGAGTCCTCAGTTGATCGAAGTGTCCACTTAAGCTATGATTAAACTGTTTTACCATTTAGTAATTGCCATTTTTGTGCAAAGTTACTCCATTATGAGTGACTTAGGAAAGTGACCATTTATCAATGTTTTAGCGGGAGCCTTTTCACATAATCATGCACAAGACGTGTGCTTTTATAATGCAAAAGCAAGTGATTGTTGATTAGTCGACTTCAAGTTCTCACGGTCGTTGCAAATTGGTAAAGTTGACGCATCAAAGAGTCAGTTTAACCAAACAACTTCATTGTGTGATGTTGGTAACTTTGAACCGAGAGGAGCCCCTGTGGAGTGAAATACAGCTGTAGTAAAAAAATATAAATATTAATGACATTTTGTTTGTGCACGGCAGGTGATCCTAGATATCACATTTTACGAAGAGAACAAACTGGTGGATCAAGAGTTTCCGGAGGACTGTTCACCTTTCAAAATCCAGCAGCTCCTGCAAGATCTGACTGAGCCGGAAGTTCTGGTGGGGAGACTAGCACCATCTCAAGAGGTGTGGTTGGTTCCCCTGTGTGTGAAATGCATCTTTTCTTTTTGTACAGCATGGCCTGTAGTGACATTGATCCAGAGGAGAGTGACAAAGTCCACCAGTGATATGCCTTTTGAATACCGTGATAGAAGTGAATTATGTGGCCTATGTTGACTGTGACAATGTGACATTGTCATTTGGTCTGCCAGGTGCAAGCTGTTTTGGGCCTGGAGCTGTTAGAATGCCTCTATTGGAGACGTGGTGCGCTCCTCTACATGTACTGCCACACCCTTCATCAACGGAAGCAATGGATCAAGGAAAACAAGGAGACATTCCTGAAGGTACCCTATGGTCAAAACTACAGACGAGGACTAAAGAGTAATAAAACATGCTGCCTCTCACGGGTCAGATTTGGTTGTACAACAGTCTTGGTTTTGGGGAGGAGATCCGCGGTTGTAGGTGGAGATGGGGTTAGTTTTGTTGGTCTGGATCTCTGTGTGACGAGCTCCGTTGGTCATCTCAGTCTCTGAGACGCGTGCACGTTTTGTCCTTGTCATGTATCTCTCGCATTTTAAAGATCGGGCATGAAATTAATAATTGTGTGCGTGTACCTGCCTTAAGGGGAGGACATTTTATGCAAGATGACAACACAATACTTAAGAGGAGCACATCAAATATGACAGCGGAGGCTACTGTTTTTGGAATTGTGTTACTTTACAAGCTTGAATGCAAGCTAGCTTGTCTGTATGCTTCATGTCACCCTGATGTGTTCCTGCAGTGTATTCAGGAAGGGGTGCGCTACCTAATGCGGATGCTGCAGGTGAGGAATTCAGTGAAGCTCAATGATGGGGTGGTCCTCCATGACACTGCAACCGCAGGCTTCCTATCTGAAGGTAATTTTTTTTTCATCCATATTTTGCAGAGATGAAAAATGTACTCGGTCTCTGTCATTCATATTCCATAAATACGTATGCAAAAAGACACTTGTAGAAGTACTGATTCGACTCCTTCACTTAATTAAATGTAAAATGAAAGTTGACTCTAAAATGTAGAGGTCTCCATCCATCATGTTCCAAAACCGCTTCTCCCCATGAGGGTTGCGTGCATGCTAGAGCTTCTCCCAGCTGTCTTTGGGCAGCAGGCGGTGTACACCCTGACCTGGTTGCCACCACTGATTTTTACATCACATAAATAATGTGATCACAACATATCCCTTGTTTCCTAAGGTATTTTCTCAGACACGCACCTGCTAACCATGATGTACATTGGAGAAATGTGCTTCTGGGCCGTAAAGTATGAAGACTACAGCGGCGACACGGTGGATTGTAAAGAAGACCGCCTCCAGTTTAGGGACATTGGCACGCAGATCCTCAACAAGTACGTGCTCGCCTGCGAGGGCCCTCTCCAGGGCCAGGGCTGGAATACGGAGAACGCCAAGGAGATCCTCAGTGTTTTACAGTGAAGCTCAGCCGCCTCCGTGTCCAGGTCGTCCCCAGACACAGATATGACATCAGTATTCAATGTTTTTTTTCCAATCCCGAAATTAAATTTTTAAAAATGGGGGAAAAAAAGAACCCACCAGGTGAGAGTGTGTGTAATGGAAGGTTAAGGCATGGGGAGAAAAATGTATTTGGGCAAAGGCCAAAGGTCAGCTAGACCTCACTCCACACCACATGATCCAGGTCAGTGGCATTATAAGACAGGTGGTTGAAACTGACAATGAATTATTATTTTTTTCTTTTTTTTACCCATTCTGCTGGAACAAAGAAAGCAGTTCTCTTCATTCTAGACTGTTGACTAGGGCACTTGTTTTGCTCTAAGAATGTGTTATAATAACATTAATATAAAAGATTCTTAGTAAAAAATGTTTCCTTTTTTTTAAGAATTGTTTATTTCATAACAGCCTGAAACGAAACATTGCACAGTAACATTTTTATTTATTCTTAAGTTGCCATTTTGGTATGCTTTTAATATTTGACATCTGTTTATACTCTATACACAAGTTTGTAAATGTGTATAAAATACACACAAAGCAAAGGAGTTTTTTCCAGAACGGTGTGAAAGTGCTCAGATTTATTCATAACCCATCACTTGTATTCCCCTTTTATTGCAAATTTTTCAACATTTAATTACCTTTCTTTGTTTAGCTTTTAATAGAGAACGTGCTGTTTCGGATTCAATTTTCTGTTTTTTTATGTCCTTGGTGACAATAAAGCCCGTGTTGTTTTAATGTGCGTGTTGTGTGCGTGCGCGCTGAACGATTGTAGTGACTACAATTCCCACATTGCACCGCTGCCGTCATCGATCGGAAGTGAGTCAAAAGCGGCACGTCACATTTGTGAAACGGCGTGATTTTTACACTACAGGTACCGCCATATAAACCCGAAGTGTCAACAAGTCATGGCAGGGAAGATTAATCGTCAGAACGAATCAGTCGTTATTCGAAGCCTACGGCGCTTAAAAGAGATTTATTGGCCTTCCGGTGTGAGAGACGTCGTTTTGGATCACGAAGAGGAAGAACCCGGCTTTTTGGATTGTTTACCTGTGAGTTTTGACTGTTGTTTGAAAAGTTTCTCTTGTGTGACAAGTTCCTTATCCACATGTAAAAAAAAAATGTCCATTTGAAATAAAAATCGTCATTTAGGGGAATCAGTACTGTATTGACAATTATCTTAAAAGTACAAAGTGTTGAGAAAATGTCCAAATAAATGGGAGGTGGTTCCCCCGGAGAAGAAAATTGAGACAGGTGAGTTGAACAGCACGAGAGACAAAACAATAACATCAAGAATTATACTGTATTCGGACACGGATAAAACAGTCCACTTTTCAAAATAGGAACGCATGAGTCAGGAAATATCATTGTGGACCAGAAAACAATAGAACGTCATATAGCGTAAGTTTTGCAAGGCCATTATATGGTGCTGGCTTCACGTATATCGGAATGAAACTGAAACGGAAAGTGCAAAACTACAAAAAATAAATACAACAACAAATCAAAATCACTAAAACAAAAAAACTACACAACACAAAAAATAGAGGCAAAAATTAAACAAGTGCAAATTAAAAAGCAAAACCATATAACTAAACATCAAGTCAAAAACCAACAAAAAAAATAAACACAATTGCAAATGAAAATATTGAACAAAACATAAAATAATGAGAAACTAAACAGCAAATAAAAAACATAACGAAACAAAACAAAAAATAAACAACAAATTAACACTACCCTACCACATGGTCTCAAACTTGCGGATGATATATTGCGACCCCCCACCAGCCATCAAAGAATAATGTTCGTGTGGCCCTCACATTTTTTACTGTGTCTCCCCAAAAGTCAGCTCGGATAAGATCCATCTCATCAAACATAACCTTATGAGGACAAACGCTATCAAAAATTGATAGATGAAGTTCCCAAATTCTATAAATGAAGATCCTAACCATAGTCCATTATAAAGGTGGACGTGCAGTTCCAGATCATGACCTTATTGTCGTCTGTGGACATCTGTCGCCTGGGAGCAACCAGCCGCTACTGGAGGGCCTTGGTTCGAGACCCGTTGCTGTGGAAGTTTTTTCTTCTCAGAGACATGCCATCCTGGACCTCCATTGATCACTTAACGATGCCGCAACTGGAGGCTCCAGAAGGCCCGGTCATCAGTGATGATGCAGAACAGGACGATTACGAGAGGACAGAATCCAAAGTCGACTACATGGCAGAGTGGGTGACTTTGCAATCAGCTGATACTTTCATTTTAAGAGAATTCATTGACTCTTGTGTTCCCTGCAGATATCTGAAAGCATGCCCTTCATGCAGACAAAGATGGCTTCCTTCGTGGCCACCGTACCGAGTATTGACATCCTTTCTGCAGTCTCTGGTGCCCTCAGCCGAACCGCGTTACGTCATGTTCGGGCCCGGCATGGAGCAACTGGATATCTCTCTAGTCACCAGGCTGATGCACGCCTCTGATATTCTACCAATGACCATCATTCCGAGCAGTCAGATCAATGGTACACACGCACACCAGACTCATTTCTTCAAATACCTGCAGTCACTTCTGTTCATTTTTCGGAGTATGAATCCAATCAGTTGTCTCCGTTTACCCACAAATTGACTTACTCAGTGTGACATCGGGGCCTGCAGTAGTATTGTACTAAAAAGTTAAATACTACTGAATTGTAATAAACAGATGTACTGTACTGGATAAAACATCACGTAACAACATAACAAGAGTGCATGATGCAAGGCCTTACTCTGTGCTTTGTGCTTTGTCCACCAAAAGGTGGCAGTCTTGGCTTTTTTTTCAATATCATCCCACTTTTCCTCAACCAAGACAAACCACCTTCTAATCCTTCAGGACCTTCAGTGATCGGCTCTGGCATCACTTATATGTTCAACAACCAGCACAAGTTCAACATCTTTACACTTTATTCGACTAACAAGTAAGTGTTCCGTACCTTGAATAGTATGTACAGTAAGATGGTGGTTGTGTCATGGAGCTGTTTGTGTGCAGAGCAGAGAGGGACCGCACCAAACAACAGAAGCAGTATATGACTGGTAAACTCTTCACTCTGGTAGGAAGCAATGACTCAGGCCATCCGATCTACAGGCCGGCCCCTCAAGTGCAGCAGGTGTGCCAGGTCGTGGAAGGGGTTATCTATGTGGCGAACGCCGAACTGGGGAGAGGTGAGAGACAAATAATTGGGTTTAACTGTGTGAATAATGCAAAGCAGTCCCTCCCTGACTGGTTAGCACATCGGCCTCACATTGCAGAAGTGTAGGGTTCGATTCCGGCCTTCCTTTGTGGAGTTGTTCTCCTGTGTGGGTTTTCTCCGGGTACTCTAGTTTCCTCCCACATTCCAAAAACCTTTATGGCAGGTTAATGGAACACTATAAATTGTCATCCAGTGTAATTGTTTCTAAAGCAACTTCAAATTTATTCAGCATTCAAACACAATTTCTGGTGGAATAACATGAACTCATTTTATGTCCTTTTCTGTAAAGTGCCATGATTTTCACTTATTAAACAGGTGAAGGAGAGTCTGAGGCGGCTCAAATCACTGCTCTGCTGTGCTCCGCTTCCAAACCCTTGCTGGTGCTCTCGTGCGTCTCCAGAGAGGAAAGTGAAGCAGTCGGGACCACTAGAATGCAAACTTGGCGTCGAACACCCTGTATTGACATGGCAAAGAGACTCAACCTGCCTCAGTTACCTAATCCCTGGATGGTAATTATTCTAATTTAATAAATGACTGAATGGTGGGGCTGTCGCTCATCAAGTGGATTCAATACCCGCTCTGGACAAAATTCTCGTGTGCTTCCTGGTTTCTTTCTAAATGTCTGGTGCATCCTGTCTTTGTCTGTTTTGAACTAGGTGCAGGACACAGTTGCAGAATCCCTGTCGGGTCTTCTGGATGGTATTTCTTGGTTGCTGAGATCCTCGGGTGTCAAAGTGTATGATGGCTAGGGTAACCTAGTAACACATGGACACACACGCTAATAAGGAAAATCCTTCTATTTTAAAATGAATTGTGTTTCCTTTCTAAAACACAGCAACACAAAAGAGAAAATCAAATAAAATGAATGCAAATAAAGCAAAAAGCTGAAAAAAGAGGAAACTGGAGTACCCGGAGAAAACCCACACAGGCATTGTTTTTCGCGTGTGTGGTAAATTCTGAATAAATGCAGCACATCATGCATGCTTTTTCTGTGCGCTGTTTGTGTGCTGATGCTTCATAAGTGAGCCCTCTCTGCGTTTACAGTTCACAATGATTTTGCCAGTCCTGACAAGATAATGTGCCTCCCTTACGCTCTTTTGTTCTGGTTACCTAGGTGACTGCAAATAATCTGTTAAAAGTACCAACCTACCTATCAAAATGTTCCAAAGCCTCCATAATCATTTTTATTGACGTGCAGGTTTGGTAATAGTGTGCCGATTGATGCAATTTAGGGGCATGAAGGCCGACGGACTTGTGCTTTGTTTTTCCCCAAATGAATTTTCAAGGGATGTGGGGGAGGCAACCCCTTTGTGTGTGTGTGTGTGTGTGTGTGTGTGTGTGTGTGTGTGTGTGTGTGTGTGTGTGTGTGTGTGTGTGTGCATGCTGTGGGACTCCCTTACCAAATAACCTTGTGGTAACGCTATAGTGGAACCTTGGAAGTCGAACACCTCAACACCTAATTTGGTAACGCATTAAAGGTCGGCACAGTGTGAATCTGTCCAAGTGTGTTTTGATTTGACTTTAGCCACAGTAGTATTGTACTACAGTAGTGATGGCAAAGAGTAAAATGTAATGGTAGTTGGGAAATGGAACTTACTGCACCACAGGAAAGGATCTGGCTGCCCAGTCCAAAATGAGCAATACAATTAATTAATTTTAATTTTATCAAACATGCTAAAGTAAACGGTATACAGCTAGAAGCATCATGGCTAGTGACTCGCACTGAAATGATCTTTGAGGCCTACTAATTAAAAAAACAAAACAAAAAAAAAACATTTCCTTCAGCATCTGTCAGGTGTCTTGAAAGGCTGAGTAGCTTTACTTTATTTTAGTTTTACTGTAGAGTGGTTAACCTCTCTTTAAATATGTGTAGCAGTTAATGTTGCATCATACTATTTACCTCAAAGAGACATATGCATTTTAAATAGTTCCCCGGTTAACTACATGATGTGACATGCTTTAGGCAAAATACCCCAAGCATCAGGAATTGTAGCATGCTTGACACACCCTAATTCATGTACGGCTGAAATCGGCCCCTTTTTACAACCTGCCTCACGTAAGTAAATGATTATACACCCCACCCTACACAATGCTGGACCAACGATGAGTACAGATTTTATGACCAAGCACCCATAAAGACAATAAAATAATTTTCATTGATCAAGGCAGCACTTCATACACTACTCTGTGCACATGCATGGACAAATCACCAAACATAAATGACTACCCACCGACACCGGTTTCAACAATTTAACCAAGCAATCAGGTATGTGCTGCTATCTGTCACAAAATTCATTGCAGCTCTGCTTACCTTTTGGCTTTAAATGACAATGGGTTTTTCGTCCATGGGGGATGTGGGTTCTTCCTGCTTGATAGCGCTTTTGTATGATAGTACTTAAAATCGTGAGCTGCTTGAAAGTGGGCCTAAATGGTCAACCGGCATACATGATCATGCATTGGGTGGAGAAGTTTGGAGGCTCCACTATATTTGCTTGTGTGTACTTGCCTAGTACACTGAGTGTGTGGAGCCTTGTAACATGTTGGATGAATGAGTGAATAACAGACCTCCAGCGCCTCTTGTCTTCTCCAAACAAAACAGAGGCCTCAAGGGTATGATGTCATGATGATGGAACCACAGTTAATTCGACCTCGGCCACTTTCGAGACACATAGCCTTCATGTCCAATGTGTTTAGAGACACCGGGAAGCAGCCTCTTGGAAATAATTGTGTTGAGAATGTTGGGTCTAAATCCTTTAGCGCACCCTTTGACCTTGATGGCACTGAAACGACATGAGTGCAGAGGTTTTGCAGGCCTGCGTGGTTAAAGCTCTGCTGTATTTGTTCATTAACTTGAGGCCGCAACAGTAGGAAACATTTGGGAAATGTTGCATAGCCTGTTGGCTCACATGTGTAGGTTTTTTTTTTTAAAGCAAAAGGACATTTTGTTACCTGTTATCTGAGCAAATGTTTTTAATGGGTTTAACTTTTTTAAGATTCTTATGTAATGTATCCAAATGAGGCTGATGACATATGGGTGAATGGCAGTGGCGTGCAAAGGAGTGGGGGGAGGGGGATAGCAACGGGGATGTGGGCCCAGACATCCACAGGCCTCATCAGATGGGGAAATGTTGCTTGGAAAGGTTTGCTTTGCACCCGTTGTACAAAAATAAAGATCCAAAGCTGCCCATACAAATTCACATTGTGCAATAAGCCACCTCATTTCCCATGAACCTTTGAGTGAACTGTGGAAGCGACTTCTGGTTTGAATCAGAACCGGCGATTTGTTTACATGCTAACTGGTTGTGGGTGTCCATTCCTATGACAGTAACAGACCGAAGTGGGCATTGTCAGTCTGGTGAGTCCGTCAGGAAGCTGCCATCAGTATTTCAGGCCGGCCCAGTCCGTCCGAATTGTCCGCGATAGCCAAATTGCGTCGAGAACAGACTTTTCTACGTCACACGCATGTGCCGCACATCTGACACGCAAACACATGGGCGAAAGATGGTCGCGGGCGTGCTGGAGTCCCACAGACCACAATGACATGTGTCCCGTGTTTTTATTTCGTCAATCACCACGCTGTGTGTGTCCGTGTGCCTGTTGTTCTGAATTGTCATATTTTTTTCTTTATTTGGCATGCTTGTCGGCTTGTGCAGTGCCTGTTGTGTGAGGTAACGTTTTTCACACCGATTGGCTGTCGCCGAAAAGGGACTGGACCCACGTGGGTCGACCTGAAATCAGACGGAATACTCACCTCTCTACATACAGTACTATAAAGAATGTGAGAATAATAGTTGCTCAAAAGAGAAAACACTTGAATCCCGCTACCTACTAATGTAGTGGGGTAGGAGGCTGACGTCATAAAGAGGGCAGCGACCACACGCTGTACAAGTCGCTACTTTCTGAACTCTCGCTTCAGACGGCGAGGCAATGAGCAATTTCAAAATCTGTGAGGCTTTTCACGACCTATAGAGAAATAAAGTCGGTCGTGTTTTCTGAAGAGTTTGTAAAACAGTCTAAATTACCCTAAAGCAGACGTTGGACCCAGCCGAACCCTAATCTTATTTTATCAACCCTCCCAGTGCATGGAAACCATTAGATGTGTGATCCAAAAAAACTAAGGAAATCCTGGTACAGTACTTAATCATCGCAACAAGATTAATGCAGATGAAAATATTGACTCATTTAACAATTTATGATGTCTGTTCTGAAAATATTATTACTGATGCACGACTGTTTTAAGAGAAAGGTAAAAGCTTTACATGTTGTCGCCTGACTAATACCGAATTGTTGTGTCTCCCATACACATAAAAATCAGCCCGGATGTTCTTGTGAGACTGTTCTCAATCTTGAAGTGACACCCGGCGAACATTCACAAAGTTAGATGTGCGTATTGTTCTGTAGGCTTTTGCTTTTTATCCACAAATTGAACGGAGCACGCGGACGTTGAGGCGGTCCTTTCAATGTAAGATTTTCAGCCTAATCACGTGTTCATCCCCAGGTAGGCGCTGGGAACTATATCGATGATGACAACATTGTCTCCTCGTCAGGGGTGCATGCTCAAATGAGTCAACAAAGCTCTTAAAGCCACAGACTCAATTTCTTCTGCCAACAATTTCTCAAGATATTTTGAAATGCCACGGGGTCTTATCGTCGTTGAGAAAAGGAAATTAAAAACATCCAAAACTCAACGCTCTGGAACAAAAAGCATTGTAACACATGACGACTTCCAGTGTTGCACAGGAAGTCGCTCCCGTAATTGTTTTTTTACATAAGAACCCTCAGGAATAAGATGGATAAAGCAAAGGAAGACTGAAGTCGTTTAACATCAAGTTCTCTAACTGCATCATTACCTCCTCTACAGCATCTTTACTGCACACTCCTTTCACTTACAGGCTTTTCATCAATATTAAGTCCCTGATTTGTATTCTGTGATAGCGACTGACATTAAAGCAGTCACTGGCAGGTGGAAGAAGAAAAAAAACATCATTTGCATGATGCTTCCACTGATTACGGTTAAGGCTCTCACTTAATTGTCTTGTTTTGCACATGGCGGGTCTCTCATGCTGACACTCTGCGGTTCTTACTCGCCTAGTGCCATCTCGCCAATTGGCATTAATTTCCTCGCCACTTGCCCTTGCTGCCCTCCTGCTGTCACCTTTATGCAGACCAATGTTTGTTATCGTCGATTATGGTTCAGGGGCATATGCTCAAGATACACCGAGACCAAATGCAGCTTTTCACTGATGTTTTTTTTTTTTAAGTTCTACCCCATCATCCTCAAAGACATTGACACTAAGAGAGGGTTATTATTCATTCATTCATTTTCCGAACCGCTTGATCCTCACTAGGGTCGCGGGGGGAGCTGGAGCCTATCCCAGCCGTCTCCGGGCAGTCGGCGGGGGACACCCTGAATTGGTTGCCAGCCAATCGCAGGGCACACAGAGACGAACAACCATCCATGCTCACACTCACACCTACGGACAATTTAGAGTGTTCAATCAGCCTACCATGCATGTTTTTGGAATGTGGGAGGAAACCGGAGTACCCGGAGAAAACCCACGCAGGCCCAGGGAGAACATGCAAACTCCACACAGGGAGGCCGGAGCTGGATTCGAACCCGGCACCTCTGCACTGTGAAGTCGACGTGCTAACCACTGGACTACCGGGCCGCCAGGGTTATTATTGTATTTTATAATTTTATAGACTTTGTTTTAGGTCCTATGACAAAAGGGAACCATTATCTCCATCAGCGGCAGTTTTAGACCAATTTTAGGGGGAGTGCTGGACTGGGGCAAGGGGTTTTGTCAGAGGGGCATTTTTATGTATGGATAAAATATGTGTTAATTATATATTTCTTTTTGGATAATACAGGATAGGACAATTTTTTCGAAGCATATAAAAATGTATGAAAAATCCAGAATATTAACGCAAAAACAAAGCGTTTGAAGCAAACAACAAAATAACCACATACTGTAATTTTTTTGTCCAGTGCAAAGAGCTTTCTGGCATTAAATTTACCATGTGGCCCGCGGGGGGCCAGTTCCCCCTTGCTGATCTAGAGCCTATCAAATCTGACTTTTTCGGATTGTTATCCATTTGTAGAGCACATATAACCCACCAACAATTCCCACTCACATTCACACCTCTGGACAATTTGCAGTTTCCATTGAACATAACATGCATGTTTTTGAAATGTGAGAGGAAGCTGGAGTACCAGGAGAAAAAACAATTGCAATTTTAAAGCATTGGCTGTTTACCACTGATGGTGAAAAACCTGGAGAATATTAGGGGGCTGGAGAATATTTTATAACAATGAAGGTCCATAAATAGATGACAGAGCAGGCATGTATGCGTTCGTGCGTTTCCCCCCCAGGCAGGCATCTCTTACACCTGGCTCTAATCCAATTGGCAGCACGGCCGTGGAGATCACTGGGAAGTGTCACGCTTGTGATGTGAAAGCACCCTAAATACATTACAGGGGACTTGAAGGGTGATGACACAAAGGCCACTCTTCCATTATGCTTGGAACACAAACACACAATGGCGCAAACATTGTTCGGGGGGGGGGGGGGTGTAATTTACCGGACTATGGCTCAAGCAAGATGAGAGGAAAGAAAAATCAGCATAAACTACCGTGTGTTTGTGTGTGTGTATCTCTCTCTCTCTCACTCTATATATATACTGTATAATGTATATTATAGTGCATTAAATATTCATATTTTACTCCCTTTCAACTGTGATTTTTTGAATTTAAATGTAGTCTTTTTCAGGGTATAATTTTCCTTGATTAAGGAAAGAGTACGGAATTTATTTTGTGTGTGTTTTTTTTAAGACAGCATATGTTAAAATTTTCCTCAACGGTTCAGCTCCTCTTTATATTGCTGTTCACATTCATGGAGCCTGGGTGAAAACAAAATTCTACATTTTGTCATGTCATGACATTTGAAACATTAGTTCCGATATCTTACGCTGTCCCTGTGAACCCGTAAGTAGCTACCACAAAAATAATCCTAAATATGAAACTCAATGTTTTTTTCTTCATTTTGTCACATTTAGTTTCTCCCTTTACTGTTTAAGTGTTGACGTCTATACACATATCACACCGAGGGTGTGGCTTGTCCTGCATAGGTCCACTGGCCTAGATTATTACCTTCTCATATTTAATACAACATGAGACCACATGATCAAGTGGGGCACAGAATCAGAGGGATTCCTACTCCATAACAACAGAATTCATTTGAACACACGCCCCACCTAATTATACAGAAAGATGCATTATCGTTGAAAAAGCTTCAGCACTGAATTACATTACATATACATTTCTTTTTAGGACATACTTATTTTTTTCTACAGAGCCAACAGTTTTTCTTATCACTAAAATTCAGTAAGCTACAGTAAGTTCACACAGGCAAAGATCCATGAAGAAAAAAACATCTTGCAATTCAGTGTGAATAGCAACTGAGCTGCCGGCTTCCCTCTCATGTGTCAAGGCGGGCCCTTCCACATCAATTGATGGCTTTTGGGTCTAGAGGGGGGATCAGAGCAGGGGGAGGCTTGGTTCAGGGGGAACTGGCTCTTCCATTGACAGCTGAAATTCCAAGCGAGCCTCAGACAGCGTCACTGGTGTGGAAGTTCCACGTGAGCCTCAAAAGAGGACAAACGTCTATATCTGTCCATGTTTTGTTTGTTTTATCAACCTAGCAAGGTAGCTACCTTCATCATAATAATTATACTGTATAGTACTCCCTGCTTGAAATACATTTTTACTTCGTTATATTAAATGTGAAATTGTGTTTTAGACAAGCAAAATTCAGTTTCATTAAACAAGCAAGATAGCCACTTGCTAGCATTTGTATCAATTATTGATATTATCCATGGCTATAATTTGACTATAAAGTGTCTACTTTTTTGTTTTATTAGATGCGAATGTAGCAGTCGGTGCACTTGACATCCAACTGGGTGATTGGGCCTAGGTGTGGCCATATAGCACATTGCCACTTTTACACTAGCATTAGCATCAAAGATTAAAATCACGATTTATTCTCATGATATTCGTGATTATACTACATGGTATAATCTACTTATCACATTTGAGACATGATGTACGCATTTAACAAGTTACCCGCTCGCATTAGAATCTATTATTGACATGATCGACGAGGACTAGAGTAATTCTACTACTATATGCTAGCTCATTTCTACGAGATTCTTTTTTGTTTTACTGTGTAACATTTGAAGATATGAAATTGTTATGGCGGCAAAATTATCGTCATCTACCTATAGCTACCTTGTTGTCGTTAGCCTATGTATCTGTTATTTCTTTAGGAGACAACAAATAAGTATTTGGAAAGCGAACTGGAAGCGTTGACGTAAAAATGCAACGACAGTTCGTAGTTGCGCGAGTGTGTGCGCAGCGCTTTAAGAGGCGGATGTATTTCGGCGAGGGTGGCCTCCGGCTGGAGTTGGCAGCTCGTTTTAGGAAGGAGGTTGGACTTCTATTGGGCGGATGGGGGCGCCTCACTGCCATGTGAGGCTCACCGATCCCCGTGGACGTGGTCGAGTGTATGTGGACTCGTAGTTGTGCGTGGGTTTTCCCGAAAGGAATAGAAGAAGCAGAAGCAGTCTCTCCTGCATGGAAACAAGCGAGTGGAAGTTAAAGGGGACTCATGCTTGAACCAAGCGAAGGAGACTTGAAGTGAATTGCGTGTATGTAAATGAGCAAGGGGGGGGGGGGGGGGGGGGTGTAATTTACCGGACTATGGCTCAAGCAAGATGAGAGGAAAGAAAAATCAGCATAAACTACCGTGTGTTTGTGTGTGTGTATCTCTCTCTCTCTCACTCTATATATATACTGTATAATGTATATTATAGTGCATTAAATATTCATATTTTACTCCCTTTCAACTGTGATTTTTTGAATTTAAATGTAGTCTTTTTCAGGGTATAATTTTCCTTGATTAAGGAAAGAGTACGGAATTTATTTTGTGTGTGTTTTTTTTAAGACAGCATATGTTAAAATTTTCCTCAACGGTTCAGCTCCTCTTTATATTGCTGTTCACATTCATGGAGCCTGGGTGAAAACAAAATTCTACATTTTGTCATGTCATGACATTTGAAACATTAGTTCCGATATCTTACGCTGTCCCTGTGAACCCGTAAGTAGCTACCACAAAAATAATCCTAAATATGAAACTCAATGTTTTTTTCTTCATTTTGTCACATTTAGTTTCTCCCTTTACTGTTTAAGTGTTGACGTCTATACACATATCACACCGAGGGTGTGGCTTGTCCTGCATAGGTCCACTGGCCTAGATTATTACCTTCTCATATTTAATACAACATGAGACCACATGATCAAGTGGGGCACAGAATCAGAGGGATTCCTACTCCATAACAACAGAATTCATTTGAACACACGCCCCACCTAATTATACAGAAAGATGCATTATCGTTGAAAAAGCTTCAGCACTGAATTACATTACATATACATTTCTTTTTAGGACATACTTATTTTTTTCTACAGAGCCAACAGTTTTTCTTATCACTAAAATTCAGTAAGCTACAGTAAGTTCACACAGGCAAAGATCCATGAAGAAAAAAACATCTTGCAATTCAGTGTGAATAGCAACTGAGCTGCCGGCTTCCCTCTCATGTGTCAAGGCGGGCCCTTCCACATCAATTGATGGCTTTTGGGTCTAGAGGGGGGATCAGAGCAGGGGGAGGCTTGGTTCAGGGGGAACTGGCTCTTCCATTGACAGCTGAAATTCCAAGCGAGCCTCAGACAGCGTCACTGGTGTGGAAGTTCCACGTGAGCCTCAAAAGAGGACAAACGTCTATATCTGTCCATGTTTTGTTTGTTTTATCAACCTAGCAAGGTAGCTACCTTCATCATAATAATTATACTGTATAGTACTCCCTGCTTGAAATACATTTTTACTTCGTTATATTAAATGTGAAATTGTGTTTTAGACAAGCAAAATTCAGTTTCATTAAACAAGCAAGATAGCCACTTGCTAGCATTTGTATCAATTATTGATATTATCCATGGCTATAATTTGACTATAAAGTGTCTACTTTTTTGTTTTATTAGATGCGAATGTAGCAGTCGGTGCACTTGACATCCAACTGGGTGATTGGGCCTAGGTGTGGCCATATAGCACATTGCCACTTTTACACTAGCATTAGCATCAAAGATTAAAATCACGATTTATTCTCATGATATTCGTGATTATACTACATGGTATAATCTACTTATCACATTTGAGACATGATGTACGCATTTAACAAGTTACCCGCTCGCATTAGAATCTATTATTGACATGATCGACGAGGACTAGAGTAATTCTACTACTATATGCTAGCTCATTTCTACGAGATTCTTTTTTGTTTTACTGTGTAACATTTGAAGATATGAAATTGTTATGGCGGCAAAATTATCGTCATCTACCTATAGCTACCTTGTTGTCGTTAGCCTATGTATCTGTTATTTCTTTAGGAGACAACAAATAAGTATTTGGAAAGCGAACTGGAAGCGTTGACGTAAAAATGCAACGACAGTTCGTAGTTGCGCGAGTGTGTGCGCAGCGCTTTAAGAGGCGGATGTATTTCGGCGAGGGTGGCCTCCGGCTGGAGTTGGCAGCTCGTTTTAGGAAGGAGGTTGGACTTCTATTGGGCGGATGGGGGCGCCTCACTGCCATGTGAGGCTCACCGATCCCCGTGGACGTGGTCGAGTGTATGTGGACTCGTAGTTGTGCGTGGGTTTTCCCGAAAGGAATAGAAGAAGCAGAAGCAGTCTCTCCTGCATGGAAACAAGCGAATGGAAGTTAAAGGGGACTCATGCTTGAACCAAGCGAAGGAGACTTGAAGTGAATTGCGTGTATGTAAATGAGCAAGTTGTCCTGTCGTGGAAAAAAAAAAGTCCATCTAGCCCTTGCAGGATTCCAGCGTGACGCTTCGTGCAAAGTAAGCACTTTGTTGTTGTTTTAATAGCGTGTTTTGCGTGTGTTTTTGTCACGGTGTTTGCCACTTTCTTTTCGTAGTTTTGGCTGTGTGGGTTAACTTTGCCGAACCTAAAGAAAGTAGGCTGCAACAGTCATTCACGCACACAATCCCCATTTAGAACTTGAATTTTGCACGATTAGCGTACAAAATGGTTTTAACTATTTGCGTAACTGTGTAGCTTGATCGTAACTATAAAAAAATCGAATATTAGTCGAAGATGTGATTGAATTTATTTGAAACAATGAGGTAATATTGCATGGGCTTTCATGCTGTTTTGGTTGAGATGCAAAGCAACATGTGGTTCTCTTTTATTTTGTCCTCTGGCCTCAACAAAGCCGACTTCTATTTGTGGACTTTGAGTTGTCCCAACTGAGGATCGGGGGGCAAAATGGGTCACTGGTCAGTTTTGATTGGGTCCAGGAATGTGCATTGTCAAGTAGCCGCACTAATTAACTTCAGTTTTTTTTTAATGGTGATGGTGATGATGTTACGATAAAAAATATGAGACATGAAGATGATTGCAATGCGGGGTCCAATACATTTAAAAAGTGTATCCCTTTAACTCTACATCATTATACTTTGGAATTGTGACATAAAGTTATTCTATCTTTACAGACGGGCTGCATATTCACTCACGCTCACACTCACCATATTAAAACTTGAGTTTTGCATTTCGGGTAGAGCACAGAATGCATTAATTATTAAGCTTACCTGGGTAGATTGATTATAACAAGAAAAAAATACAATAACAATGGAAGATGTGATTCAATTTATGGAGGAAATGTCGTAGCGTTATACATTGCATGTGTTAGGATGGAAGGCAACGTGTGTTTCCCTTTCATTGTTGAAGCTGACTTCTGATATTGGACTCCAGAGTTGTTCAAACCAAGGGTCAGGGGTCTCTGGAGGTAAATCATTAAGCAGGCACGTGGTTGATATGTTCTCAGTGAATGAATGTATTTTAGCTTCCTAACTGTTCATTTAAGTATAGTAGGTTATATGTTGATGTTATGGCAACACATGATGCATATTTGGGTCCATTAATCGTGATGATAATGTTAAAATGAGGATGGGGCCCCAAAATAGTAAAAAAATGGACAATTTTTATTTTCTCAAGTAGGCACACAGTTAATTCATGTTCGGAATGAGTGAATGCATTCAGTTTTTTTATGCACAGTTAATGTTCATGTTATGTCAATACCATACCTATTTTTCTAAATTTGCATCCTGGAGTGCTGTTTTGGTGGGGCCAAGTCATTATGATTCTCAATATTTTTCAGATTCATGAAAACTTTTAATGTCAGACAACGTGGAAAAATATTATTTTAACATGGCCAAATGTCTCATTGAACTCAGTGAAAATTTAACAATGCCATAAAGTGGCTTTATGTGTGTGATTCTAGTTCAAGCTAGCTTTTATATCGCTTTCTAGACAGCCTTTTTGAATATTACTAGTCGTATTATCTTCCTCTATTATCTTCCTCTATTATCTACAATTGATTGTTGTCACTTCTTCCTTTGTATTTGTCCATTATTTAGAATAGGTGAGAAATGAAGCTGTCCACAAATAAATTCTGTTTCCTTTAGCTACTGAGTTAGCTGGCTGCCAAGCTAACATAATTGTTGATTACCGTATTATCGTTCTTTGTTGTTCCTTATAATGATTAATCGTGTCATTGTGCTGGCTGCTGGTCTTGAAATAAGGCGTGGATTGCAAGGGAAGTCTAATAATAGTATTATTATTCTTACTTTAGTTTCTTTTCAAGTGTATGCTTGGTTGAATGGTGTTTTGGAATTATTTAAAGTAAAAGAAAAATATAGTGTATAGAGAAAAGTATTTCCACTTTTCTCAAGCTTCTCTCAGCTTTGTTTGTTTAAAAAGTTTTTGTAAAAATGGGGGTTTGTAGGTTTTTTTTTTTTTTTTCAAAATGTTTTCGTTACAATGGGGGCATGTAGTGGTTTGTACGTTTGCTCAACAGTTCTGAGGTTGGGTGTTTGAATCCCTGCTTTCCTGTGTTGAGTTTGCATGTTCTCAAGAGAAAGACCAATGTTTTTTTTTTTCTAGGGTGGATACAGAGTATTAGCCGCCAAGGAGACTGATAACTGATATTTGGAGCCGATATTAATTTGCAGTAAAGGGGAAAAATATTGCTGTCACAATTTTGGATCGTAGCAACTTAAACATTTAACTGTGTTTTTTTTTTTTAATCCTTGACAATAGCCCTCTTTGTTTTAAAATTCAAACAAAAACATCAGGGAGCTCCCAAACACAGTTGGATGTTGACAGCCTGACACAGTTGCCGTTCCTCCTGATCACTTTTTAACAAACCAGGCTCATTCAAGTGTGTTGTTTTCGCTGGCAAAATCGCTACTGTGCTTCTGACATCCCTTTGTCTTCTAGACCAAAATCTGTGCCTATGGGGAGAGATTTGTCTAAATTCTCACCAGTGTTTTTAGAAAGAAAAACAGTGTGCTTGTATGCCCAGTTTAAATTTAATGGGACAAAAATGTGTTGTTCTTTTTTTTCAATGTTCATTATTTTATATATATATATATTTGAATAATGTGCAAAAAATGATGTTCTATCACATCAACGTAATTTTTTTAATGTGATTGTGGGTGAAGTAATCGCTAATTATGTTACCTAGGGCGCGCCTCCCCTGCAAGAGGCTGCCATGTTTGGCCGCCATCTTTCTGCTCCGAATACATGAAGGAGATAAACTGAGCCAAGGTAATTCCTCCAAATTATAACTGCAGCATGTGTAACAACTTCCATGCACTTCCTCCGTCACTTGAGGTAATACTAGAAGTCATTTGGGATTGCATTTTGCTTGCTCCGCTGCTTAAGAAAGGTGGTAGGCTCGCGAAGTTTGGTCTGTCTGAGGCACTTTGAGCTTTGGTAGTTGTATTCTATTAGTTTACCACTAGATGACAGTGAATTCTATACACTTTAAGTATCAAATGTTGAATATCTTAAAATGTAAACCAAATAGGTGTTCATTATTAAGTGGAAATGTTTTTTTTAATCTTCAGTACTAATAATATCCAAGAAAAAAAATATCTGAATCCCCAATTATTCTATAGAATTGCCAGTAGAATATCCGAATACCAAAATATTCGATAGCTTCAGTCCTAATGATAAGCAAAGCATGATAGAAAAGGGACGGACAGATATTACAGTGGGTTCAAGTGTCCACCAGGTAGGAGACGTGAGTGGAGGCTTGTTGTTGTTCTTGTCACATGACAAAAGAGCGACTTTGTTTCCTGTGGCTGCCCTTTGCCAACAACAATTAGGAGGGAAATGAGAAGATGAAGACACGAACAAGTTGTTCCAGGTTATTTTGTCCTTTTAGTGATTGATTTGTCTCAATCGTTAGATGTAAAATAGTGAGCATTACCGGTTCAGAACATCTAGAACATCGACTGGAACATTTCATGTTTGGAGAGCACAGCCATAGTTTATAATGATCATCAATCCCACCTCCACGAGTACAATATGTTTGTATAGGACTGATGTCTTGAAGTCATTTTTTTTCCTGATGCCCAAATTGGCTGCCACTTTGTCTGTCGAAGTGATCATGGAAATACACATGAACAAAAAAAAAATACAATTTGGCCAAGACTCATCAGTCTGGCCAAATTGTAAACTGCATTAAAATAACAAACAAAAATTTTGTCCTCTTTAATCTCATTGTAAAACAAAGATAGCACTCACTAAAACATGAACCATGCCAAGGTTAAACCAATACATAGATATATACATATAATTACTGTGACAGTTTCATATTACAGTCTACTCAAAATATCTACACTTTGTTACATTAGGCTTGAATATTTGGCATTCACATGAAACTAAACTGCTCAATTCAAATCCAGATGGATCAGACATGACATTTTAAAACTCCTTAAGGATAACTCTCTGAAATGGCAGATTCTCCCGGTTACTTGGAAAGGGGCGGGGCGGGAGGGGGGGAGGGGTGGGGGTGGGGGGTGGCTGGAGGAATTATCATTATCATTTTTAATTGTATTTATCAGTTGCTGGTTCGAAATTGAACTTGTTGCAAGTCTGCGCTCGCCAAGTTGACTTTTCACTTCGGAAGAGTGCACACTTGCTCTTGCCCTGTTCCTGCTCTGGTACGCACACTTGATTTTGCGCACAGACACCCACTCCAGGGTGCTCCGCAGATGTGTGTGCTGATCTCCTTCCAGCCGTGGCTGCTCTCATGCCAGCGTGCTGACTCTGAGTTTTCCACTCTCTCTTTTTCGAAACGGGAAGAAACATCGGAGCCGTCCCGTATCCGAATGCGAGCAGGTTAAAAAACATCTTCCTGTGTTCACATCCGTATAAAACACACATGTACATGCTATCTGCGCAGGTTGAGTGTGTGTCTGAAGGCGGTGGGGGGGGGGCTTGGAACAAGGCAGAGCTGCTGGCTGCTTCCCTTCCAGGCTCCTCCTACTACTCCTAAAGCTTCCCTGCTGCAACATGCAGGCTCATGTTCACTGTCTGTGGCGTCTGTATGCGATTTAGGTGGCTCACATATCCATGCAGACATCCCAATAAGTTAGTTAAGCAATCGGAGGTTTGACTATTTTTGTTCTGTACCACATGATGATCTTCATCCTCATGGATCGACATCTGCATCAAGACATTTTGTTTGTTTTCCGCAACAGTTTGGGGAAGGGCCTTTTCTCTCAAGTCCAAATAGAAGCAGTTGAATTAAGTTCAACGCTTGCCAAATGTCGGAAACTATGTACGTAATGCAAGCCGAATTAGCAAGTAGTAAGTTAAAAATACCCAAAACAAAACAAAACATCATCTCATTATCAACTACAGGCCTGGCATCCAGGCCTGTGTGAACAGGGATTGTTTTGACTTCTTTGCTTTTGTTGTTGTTGTTCAGGTCATGTCAAGTCGGGTTTATTTCTGTACACCTTAATCAGAGGAGTCTCAAACATGC